GCTATGATTAAGCCAGCGCCATTTTTTATGACATTCTGTCTTCTATATTGATTGGACTTTGCACACCCTTGTCAAAAAATCAGTTGATAATGCATGTATGAATATATTTCTGAGTTCTCAATTCTATTCCAAGGATCTTTACGCCTACTCTTAAACCAGGCTAATTTAAATAGTGTGTTTTTGAAATCAAGAAATGCGAATTCCATTTCATTCTTCTTTAAGATTACTTTAGCTACTTGGAGATCATTTACTTTAGCTATTTAGGGAGCCCTGGTGTCGGTGTCAGGTAATCATTGGACTGCTAATCACATGGCCAGCAGTTCAAATACATCTGCCGCTCCAAGGAAGAAAGTTGAGGCTATCTGCTTCCATAAAAATTCACAACCTCAGAAACACTACAGAGCAGTGGTTCTCAACCTTCCTAATGCCGTGACCCTTTAATACAGGCCTTCCTGTTGTGGTGGAACCATAAAATTATTTTCATTGCCACTTCATAACTGTAATTTTGCTACCAACCCCTGTGAAAGGGTCATTCGACTCCGAATGGGGTCGCGACCCACAGGTTGAGAACCACTGCTATGGAGGGTTATTATGACTTGTTGGCAGTGGGTGGAAGTGGTATGTGCCCTTTCATACACATTTGAGGACTTTGTTTTGTTTTTCCATTTCTACAGAAGCTGTTAAAATTTTGATAGAAATTGCATTGATTTTATAGAAAGCATTGGGGGTGGTATTACCACCTGAACTATATTTTACCTTCTAATCCATGGCCACGGACTATCCTTCCACTTATTTAGGTTTTCTCTAATTCCTTTCAGTAATGCTCTTGTTTCGGTGGTCAAGCCCTTTACCTTCCTTGCTAAATGTGTTCCTAGTTATTTTCTTCTCTTAGATGCTATTGTAAATAGTAATGTTTCCCCCTTTCAATTCCCATTTGCTGAAGTATAAAAAGCTTATTTATTTATTTTTTAAATTTTTTATGTTGACCTTATACCCTGGCCATTTGTTGAATTCATTTATTAGTTCTAATAACTTATGACTTCTTTGTGGTTTTCTGCATAGAGTCGTGTTATCTATAAAATGGCATAGTTTTACTTCTTCCTTTCCTGTTATTACTTAGTATATATATTTTAAAGCATATTAGTAACCAGTTGCCAAGTAAACAATTCTCTCAGCTGTATATTTTTATGGTGACATATGAGAGTCTATGTCTTTCTACATTGAGATCATCTATGAGTGCAAAAGACTGAATAGTAATAAGGTTAAAAAAACAAGAGATTTTTTAAAGTGGTCAAAGTTCATCACCTAACATTATATTAATTATCAGACCCAGATAAAGCAGTTCTTTGAATTTCATATGCTTTTGAATGACCCCAGAGGCAGTGGAGTGTAGGGATGAAAATTCTGATCTTTAATTCCTGACTGCCTGGGTTCTAATTCCATACTGGCTTCACCTATGATATGATGGGAAAAACATAGCACCTACTACATCCAGTAGTTATATAGGTTATAGGTACATATATACTCGAGTATAAGCCGACCCGAATATCAGCAGAGGCACCTAATTTTACCACAAAAGCTGCATAAAAATGTGCTGAAAAACTTGGCGTATACACTAGTAGATACGGTAATTTATATAAAACAATGTTATATAAATACTAGCTAATATTATTAGGTTATATTAACAGGGGTCTAGAGGGCAAATTGGGATGGAATTTTTGTGACTGAACAGAATTTTTGTCTTCAATTCCTAAAGAGACTTAGTTATGTTGGTTTCAAGCCAAACTCACTGCCTCCAGTCAATTCTGACTCATAATGACCCTGCAGGACGGACTAGAACCTCCCCCTGTGTCTTTCTGAGTCTGTGGCTCTTTACGGGAGTAGAAATCCTCATTGTCCTCCTGAGGAGAGGGTGGCAGTTTCGAACTGATGACCTTGCAGTTAGCAGCCCAACACATAACCACTACACAACCAGGTCTCTCTCTGTCAACTTTAGTAGCCATTTAACATAAAATCCAATCGCTACAAAAGTCACAAAAGGATGTTGCAAGAGAAATTTTAAACCCAGTATCTCCAGAGAGGCCGACCTGAGTAGTGCAAAGGGTTAAACTGTAGGCAAAACCACTGGCCAAAGGTGAAAGGTTCAGATCCACCCAGAGGCCCTTTGGCAGTTAAGCTTAGCAACCCACTTCTCAAGGTCACAACCTTGAGAACCCTGTGGAGCCACTTCACTGTGCACCCACAAGGTCAGCGCGCGTCCCAGTGAACTTGTAGACAACGAAGAGCAACAATCAATTTCTATAAAAACTACTATGGATAGAGTATATGTTTAATAGAGAATCCCCGTGTGTGTGTGTGTGTGTGTGTGTGTGTGTGTGCTTTAATATAATTGCTTTTCTTTGGGGGGGGGGTTAAGATTTAAGGTTGCATTCCACCATAAAAAGAAAAGTGAAATTGTTGAATGAAAACCACTTTACTCTGTAAACTTTGACCCAGATCACAATAAAAGTCTACAAATAAGTAAATAAAAGCTAAGAGCAACGGGTGATGCTCTAAATGGAACTTGCTGTTTTTAATGGCTGCTTGTTTCAACAGCGTAGCACGCTGAGGCCTCTGCTTCCGCACAAAAGAGTTACAGAGTCGCTGTGAGTTGGCATCAACGGGATGGCAGTGAATTTAGTTTTGGGTTTTTTATTCAATAAAGGAGCCCTAGTAGTGTAGTGGTTAAACGGCGGGCTGCAATCTGCATGGTCAGCAGTTCAAAACCACCAGCAGCTCCGAGGGAGAAAGACTGGGCTTTCTACCCCTGTCAAGTTAGTCTTC